GTTGTGTTTTAATCTCCACGGCACGTATCTGTGAATGGCAGCTCTCGAGATAGGATGTAAATTTGAATCATTTTTCATCAATTTTCCTACTTATACGCATGATAACTAGAATGCATTTCAGAGTCACAAATCCAAGCAATTGAAATCCTTTCTTTAAACTTATGGTTAGTCTTTTCCATTCAGTTCAGCTTAGGACCGAGTTCCTCACATAAAGACGCACTCCGGACTGCCTTGTCAGGAGCTCTCTGCAGAACAAGTACAAACCCTTCTACAAAATGCTGCTGTGTTTGCAGTAACAAATCAATTCTACCATTCTCATGAAAGCAAAGTGAGTCACCTTCTTCCAGTGAGCCAGTTTGGGTTTGTCTTTCAAATATAAAGCCCTGTTGCCATTGGGATACTTCGCTTTTGAGGCTCCGGTTTGCTCTGTGGCAAGCAGCTTAGTGACCTTTCAGCTCCGTTTGATACCACTTCTGCTACTTTGAGAGAAAGCGTTTCCCAGGAAAACGGACATTTGGAAACCCTGTATTGACATCAGCTGATTTCCACCACTGCTACAAAGCACAGCTGAATTTGGATTAGAGTCTGAGTGGTCTCAGGTGATGATAATAGCATTAGGGTTGTGCGGTTTGGCTAGACAAAGAGAAATCCCTCCTCTCGCTGCACCAGTCACGGTCAGGTTTAGCCTCTGCCTACAAATGATTGCATCACCTTGGATGTTTTAGCTTCTTCATCTCCCGTACTGACGTGACAGTGTTCCTTAGGGAAGACAACCTTTTGCTATTATTAGTTAGTGCCTTGACCCCGAGACTTCTGTTGGCAGCCCCTTAAGGATGGAGAGCAAGTGCCATGCTGCTGCCTTGCATGATGACAAGGTGATCAAACACGTGTTTAAGCTCCTTGATAGTGATGCTACCCATACACAGACTCTATGGCCTATAAAAGGAATTACAAAAATCCAGCTGAGATGTAATGAAAACAGGAATTAATGACCTTGTATCCTTCTGTGAGAGTCCTGGTCTCAGCTTTGCTGATTCCTCGAGATGCCAGCATGACACCTTTGATATTCTCCCAAGTAAAAAATTCAGTGAATGACCCTAACTTTATGTTCAAAGTGGCATGAATAAAACTGGCAACTCGGATTCGATGTGGTTTTGCAGAGTTTTAACCCCAGGAAATATTCAGAAATACAGGGCTGACTGTCACTTTGATGTGTAGGTGAATCAGCAACAGTTTCCTTGGGGTCTTACGAGACTGAAAAATGAACTTTTGTGTCAGCTTCCTAACAGCAGGCTCCCGTTGACAGGGAGCAGCACAGAGCTACTCCCCCAGGAGCTCAGTAGGCTGGGCAAAAACACTTAATTAAAGTGTAGAAAAGAAAACAAAACAAAGGACTGAAAACATTTCAGACAACAATAAATCTTCAATGCTTGAAACAAGTCAACCAACCTGCTAGGGACTAAAAAAAATCCCAATGCAACAATCCAAGAAAAATATCACAAACTAATTTCTCAGCAAAAGATTTGAGAAGATCATGTATTCACAGTGATTTCCAAGTGAAAAGCAAGATTTACTGTTGTTGCTCCTACAGAAGTTTTCACTGAGAAACGGTAACCTTATTCCTGAGACAAAATGTTCAAAACTAGTTGATGCTTCCAAAGGGAAATAAAGCTGCTTTTCTGCCTCAGAAATCCCGCTGGCTGCCGGTGTTGACACAAAACTCACTCTTGACCGAGCTCCTGAATGCTCAGCAAGCTCAGTAGGGTGGTGTAGTTGTTTTGTTTATTTATAAGCGTGGCAAGTTTCCTACTGTAGCTGCTACCACATTTAAATGATCTTGGCAAGAGCGAGGCATACAAGGATACACTCTGAAGAAGGACCATGTTATTGCCTGGCAGGCAATTTCCTTTTTTTTTTAAGCCCAAAACACATCTTTCCAGCCTCTGCTAAGTGTTACTATTTCTGAGGCTATTCGAAGCAGGTAAAATGGTAGGAGTGCTAGAAGGGAGATAAACAAGGACTCTGGAAAAAAGCCTGACACTGACCTTGAGGCAGAATACTGAGGGCTCTCCAGGCACGTGTTTCTTCCTCAGTACAACCACTCACAGTAGACAAATACATTACTTAGAATTTCTGCAAGGTATTGTAAAAGTCGTAGCATTTCAGCATCCCAGAAAGCCAAAGAGGAAGTCTTTTTAAAATTAATGAGCATTTTCCTGGATCCATAGTAAGTCTACAGGCAGAACATTGACATCTAAATCTATCTGAATTGACCTTGACTGGAAGAAGAAATGTCTTTCAGGCCAAGCATATGTAAATGAAACACCTAGTTATGTGAGGAGCCAGAAAAAAAAAGATCCAAGTTACTTGGAAAATTACAGCATTGAAAGTCTAGTGCAGCTTGCTAAGAGAGTCAATAAGGCTGGGAGTGACCAATGGCCCTAGAAAAAAAAGGGGTGGTGGAACACCAGGAGATGGATTTCCCAATTAACACTTTCATATAAGAAATCTTCATCTCAGGTTTTAATGAATATTCTGCATTTCCTTTGTTTTCCCTGCAAGAAGTCAAGGGGTTTTGTGTTTGGGTTGGTTTTGTATGGGACTGCATGTTACTATGGAAGCTACAGAGGTTTCATGCTCTGACTTACTGCAAACATTTTGCATTGGTTTTCCCCTTCCCTGCTTCACTCTCTGCATACTCCTCAAGCGCCTCAGCAGAGCAAAGCTTTCTAAGCACAGCCATACAATTTTCCTGCTCAGATGGTCCCCACTAGCAAATCCAGCAGCTTAAATGCTCAGTGCTTCTGTCTAGTCCCAACATCTCATACTCCTGTTCATCCTTCTGCTCTCCACCCTGCTGCCTCATTTCCCAATGTGCAGAGGAAAGGGTGAGTTCTGCAGTGTTTTGGTGAACACCTGTCCCTGAACAGGGCTATTTGAGCTGATGGAGGAAGACAACCCTGCAATGGTAAATCCCTCTCAAACTCAAATGTGGTTTTAAAATTCATCCTAGACACCTTCTGCAAAGGACAGTTCTGAAATCATGCTTCCTCCCCACTTGCATTGGAAGTTAAACTGCAAATGCTTTGCCTAAGTCAGCATTTTCTAGTGCCTACGTTCAATAAGAAAGCATAATTGGGATACGCATTTTGGGATCCTGCTGGCTACAAATCACTTTACAAACAGATCCACAAATGACATGCCATCTAGGAATCAATTCAGCAGCTGCTGAAATTCAGCCGTTTCTGGAACAAATGATGACAACTGCTTACAGGACCCCACCAGCAAAACTATGTTAGACACCCAACCAGAAGTACAGCGCCAAATGCAACCACATGAAAATTATAAATTTTCACGGTGTTAGAACGTGCTCTCAAAGTTATCCAGACTGCTCGAAGTTTTGTCTGCACTAGGATTTTTTTTTTTTGAAGTATTGATGAACTATTAAAATGAAGCCAACATAAAGTTCTTCTGTCCTAGCTGGATGAGACAACTTAGAAATACAATTTATCTCTGGAGCCCTCAGCACAAGGAGGACATGGAACTGTTGGAGCAGGTCCAGAGGAGGGCTACTAAAATGATCCGAGGGCTGGAGCACCTCTCCTGCAAGGAGGGGCTGAGAGAGTTGGGGTTTTTCAGCCTGGAGAAGAGAAGGCTGCAGGGAGACCTGATTGCGGCCTTTCAGTACCTAAAGGGGGCCTATAGGAAAGATGGGGAAAATCTTTTTAGTAGGGCCAGCAGTGACAGGACAAGGGGTAATGGTTTTAAACTGAAACAGGGTAGGTTTAGACTGGATATAAGGAAGAAATTCTTTACAATGAGGGTGGTGAAACACTGGAACGGGTTGCCCAGAGAGGTAGTGGAGGCCCCATCCCTGGAAACATTCAAGGCCAGGTTGGATGGGGCTCTGAGCAACCTGATCGAGTTAGCAGTGTCCCTGCTCCTGCGGGGGGGTTGGACTGGGTGACCTCCCACCCTGTGAAGAAATCATGCACCATTCACAGCTGCTCAGTAAGCAAACCTTTTTTATATACTTGTGAACTAATACATCCAGTAATTATTATATTGATATTAGAAAAAGGTATAGGTATCAGTGTTTGATAGTGGTTTGCAAATGGTTTCTATGCTGTTGAGTGAACTGTAACTTACACTCCCAATAGGCACTGAAATGAAGGATAATCCTCAGGTCTTCTGTGTACTGTTATTAGTAAATTGTACCAAAAGTTTGTGTGTCTGTAAGGGCTATTTTTACAAGCATTTGTTCATTCATTTGTTTATCTTCAGCCTCATTAAAAATTAGCATATTAAGCAGATAAAGTGGAATTCAGGTTGATTGGTTTTATTCCTCACTTTCAGCAACTATCAAGAATCTGAACCTGACTTTCCCTGTACTCAATGATACAGAGTCAACACATAGCTAGAGAGATGTGCATCACTAAAAAATAGCCTTCCCCTGTGAAGCCGCCCTTTTGCTGCATTCACAAGCTCTTTGCCATGGAATAACCAGAAGTCAGATTCTGATTTCAATTCCAGTGGCCTAATTTACTTATCATCAAAGCAGTGACTTTAGGTTTACCTCGCTGTAATGGAGATCAGAGTCTTGACTAAATATTCCACATATGCACCCATATAAGCGTAATACTAACTAGTAAGTGAGAACAAGACTAACATCTTACTTAGTTTATTTCCATTTGTAGCTTGCATGGTAAATTTATTGCAAAGATAAGCGCTTTTTCTCGTGTCCTCACTTTATTTTCACCTTTGTTCTTCAAGAGGGTTATTGATTTCTCTCCTCTTCAAACGCCGTATGATCTGGCAAGTCAAAGGGGATCATTTCAATGGTGAGGAGTGGATCAGGACATAACCCTCAATAGCAGAACTAAAGAAATGCCATTTCTGGGTGAGCTTCTTGTCACATTAGCAGTGGTGTTGTATGCGAAGAACCCCAAACCCTCTTCACGGACTACTGTCAAAGGCAGTTGGTGTGAAGAAATGCCTACCTGAAGACGGCAAGGCTCAGTGACCAGAGCACTAGTGGTTTCCTCAGTTCAAATTTTGCTCGTTTGTTCATTAGGTGCCGACCACCAAATATAAAGGCAGCATACAGAGCTGAGAATAGGAATGATTTCTTCCTGCAAAACAAAACCAAAAAAACCACCTGTCAGGTATTTAATTTTTATTAGATACACAGCAGAGTCACATCTGGACATAGCTGCCAAGGGCTTGTGCATTTCCTTGAAAGGAAACTCTTTTGAAGACACTCCTGCAGCCCCACTGAGATTAGTGTTAGTGTATGAACCCTACAAGCCTGCCCATAGTGCCACGTCCAGGTGCAGACAAAACTGACCCTGGGGGAGTTCTGAAAAAGGACAGCCAAATTTGGCTCCCATTCTTCCCCACTTTCTGAAGACTGACTTCTGCAAGGAACAGAATAGGTATATTGCAGAGCCCAGACACACTTCTGCAAGCACAGCACGGTTGATACTTGAACCAGCTGATCATGTTTTGTGGCTCATTCATCTTTTTCATATCAATTTTGGTTTCCTGCAGGCTCCTTGCTACCTGGCAATCTAGTTTCCCATTGTTTCCTCCAAGGAGACACTTAAAGATCTCAAGCACCGCAACACAACATGAAGAGTCTCACGAAAAGCGGAGAACCACCAAGGAGAGGTCAACAGCCCCGGTAAGCAGCAGCCATGCTGAGTGGCATCGCCCTGCTGCACAAGCCCTGCCTTTGCGTGCCAGTTCAGGAAATCCAGTGAATTTGCTGAAAGGTCAAGCAGGTTCTCTTAAGGAACTTCAATGGTACCCTTAGAATTGCAAGTTTTATTTTTAAAATTGCCTGATAGTAGTCCAGCTCAGCAATAATCAGCAAACATTTGAACTCTGCTACTATAACTCGTAGTAGATCAACCATTAGACATCAAAAATAGATTCAGCCTGGGATTCCTTCCCACACAACACAGTATTACACGAAGGCTTAATGATGTACAGCATTAATGGCGGCCTAACTGGACGGGCATATATTTAGTAACAGATTTTTCTCTACAAAATATGTAATTATATTCACAAATATCAGTGGACCATGGCTTTGCACCAAGAGGTGCTGGTTCTTTTTGGACCCCAATGAAAGAAAAACAAACACTCTAACTAGTTCATTAATATTCCAGAAAAGGCAGCAGCAAGCTACAAGATCTTACATTCCTTCCAACGATGGAACTCAAAGGTGATGCACTGTCAGACAGACCTACGATCAGGGCATGGCACACTGCCTAGACTTCCCGTTGGGGGCAGGGTTCACCCGCATTGTGGTCTTTAGAGTTTTTATAGGATTTTCAATTGGATATTTGTATGAAAGGATGTTGCTTCAGCTGAAGATAAATACAAGAACATGCTCATGGTGTGTCACTGGTGCCAAGTACATGCCACCTCCAGGCTCTTCCATGACAATTAGCTGTCTGAGGGTACCCCATGGCAAGGGATATGGGCAACACAGCACGGTCCTGAAGGCCAAGCACTACGTGTGGCACAGTATGGCACAGCACAGCGCATGTCTGTGCCTACTCAGCAGCTGGTACATGGATCACACGCTCCTTGATGGACAAGGGTCTTCCCGCGAGGTCCATGAAAACTAAGAAAAGCTGTAGCAGCACATTTGATTGAAAGTACAAAGACAGCAGATGCAGTCTTCACTGGAGATAAATGAGTTTTATATGACTTTGAAAGCTAAGTAAAAGCAAAGTCCAAAGAGACAGAGGTATATCAGCAAGCGTGCTGCAGCACAGGCCATCGTCTGCCCACTTAGAAACTCCTCTGCTTCTCTGGACATATTTATAGGTCTGTGTTGCAAAACATGGGTAACTGCATGAAAATCCTGACTGGTGCTCTGCACTGAGAAGAGAGGACCCCAAGCCTGCAGTCCCCTGGGTGACCCTTAGCATCCGTGCTGACAACAAGCCCCAGAAGACCAGGATGACCACAGAGTCAGCGCCCTCTCACCTTGTGCGTTGAGATGGTCTAATTGCCATGGCAATGTTTATCACAACTGGGGTTTGAAAACCACAAAGCCTCGCCCTTATTCATCTCATAAGAAAGAAAAAAGCATTCATTTTCAGTTCTATGGTCTTGAATTTCACAGTCAGGAAAGGGGCAGAATTACCACATTTGGTAGCATGATTGCAGTTTAGCTTCTCTGGAGGTCAGTAAATATTTGTTAACCAGTTTAGGTAGTGATGAACCACCTCGAACTTGCTCATACTGAACCACCTAACTGTTAAGACAAGATTTATGGGTTACGGGACAGGAGCAGACTCTCAGCGTGAGGTTGGACTGCGATCCCATCTCCTTCCCTCCGCAGCAGAGCAGCCCATCGCCAACCTGGGCATGGGCGAGGGAAGGCAGAGGGAGTGTGATGGGCTGTACCACAGTCTGCAGTGCTGCCCGGGCTGCCCCAGGGCATCGGGAGAGACGTCCACTCCTCAGGCTTCTGCCCCTTCAATCCCACAAAAGTCTGGGCTTACAGCGCTCAGCGCAGACAGACAGCAATGCACACAGCAAGGTATGGACATATGCATAAACACGTGCAGCCACTCAAGCCAGGTCACGTGCAGGGGCCCCACAGGAGGGACCCTGCAGCCCCACGCCACGAGGGGGGTGCAAACCCCCCACCTCTCGGCCCTGCAGTGGGTGTCCCTCATGCCAGGGGCAGGAAGGGTCTATCTTGCACTGGTCCATGCATGGAGCTCCCAAGCAATGGAGAGCAGTCAACAGCAGGACAACATCTCGAGCAGTGCAGGATGACATCTTGATGCAGGGGAAAAGACTGCAACACAGTGCTTCCATGCAGCTGCCAGCGGGATGCGGGCCTCGCGGGCTGGCATGGGAGGAGGTCAGGATTTAAGAGCAGTAGCTAGGGATGCTTTGTGGGAAGGCAGGCAGGCAGAAAGCAGTTCAGTCCTGGATCAAATACAGGCAAGACTTCAAAGTAATGGTTGGACTTCAGTTCCAACTCAAGAAAAAAAGACCATTCTGAATGAGTTAGCAGCTCAGGTCCGTGCTCTGTTTGACTCCCTTCTGCCTGGGCACTCTATATTTACACCAAGTAACATTTCGTTTTGCTTCTTATTACTGAAACTATTTTTTGTGAGTTCCATCAGTCTATTGAGGTCAATAGTTACATTGGGCTAATTAGAACAGATAAACTTTAGGCCACTTTTAACAGCTTTGTAACGAGTTCAGCGTTATTTGCCAGGATGGTAAATGGTATCCCCGCAGTGTGCAGCTTTGCATTGGTGGTGGCAGACATGAGAAGATTTGACTGCACGCGTGATGTGAACTGCAGAGAGCAGCTGTCAGCAGTTTCAGACCAGGAGGGATGCAGCAGTGTTATCTCCCATCAGAGGTAAGCACAACACTGAGTAACGATTAGGCCGATTTTGACATCATCTGTCTTGACACCTGCTGACAACTTTTCATAACTTTTTGCATCCAAAGAAGTTTGAATTTTCCCCTCTGCAGCATAGTAATGGTTAAAAGGAGCGGGGAGTCCAGGTGATATAGTTATAAAGGGGTTGCAGAGGTATGTACTTTTAAGATAATCTGTTTAACTGCATTAGACTGGTATTCACCAGCTTCCTACCAGTGTTTTTATGATGGATTTTCCTGAAAAGTTCATGACTACAGTCCGGTTCCTATGCTGGTGACACAAAGCAATGGCAATCTGACAGCATTCAATTATATCTGATAGGTTTTTGGCCAAAGGAGGCTAATATCAAATGAGCACTTCTAAAGGCAAGAGTTTTGGAGTTGTTCTGGTGCGCTGTAACTTTTCATTACTGTTATCTGAAGAGAAACTAAATAGAGCAGAATAGAGCAGAGCGACGACAAAAAAATTATCTTGAAACTAAAAAAATTTTAAATCTCCCAAAGTAATTCAGTAGCAGACTCGCATGCAATAACTTCAACGTTAGCAGCACATTCATATGTTTGTCTTCAATTCTGTTCTGCAGGGTAACACAGTAGACATAAAGACGGGGCTGCCAAATCCTCCACATTTTTCTGGCATTTCTGTTTCTCACAGTTGTCTCCCACCTTCCTACATTTTCAGACTTCAGGGACTAAGTACTCTCTCTACTGAATACAACTCCATGTTTCCCCGTTGGAAGTTGCCAGCTCTTTCCCCCAAAAGGGGGGCAGGGGAATTTTCTGAAGAACCTATGAAATGCTCTGCTTGGACTGGGGGTTACTACAAGAAAGGGAGGCAAGAGTTTGGGGCTATAGGCTGAAGATGTGAGGCAGATCTTCCAGAACGCTAGCACAGAGGTGGCCGTATCGCGAGGCAAGGGGACAGGCAGAAGCAGCTGACACGATGGGAGAAACAGAAGAGAAAGGACAAATGGTAAGCGTGGCAGCAAACGAGGGGAGCTCGCGGCCAAGAGATGGACAGCTGGGACAGCATGGAAGGGAAGGAGACTTAAAGTCCTTTCTCTGCTGAAGCCCCTGGCGGGATGCTTCTTGCACCCGTGGGCACGCCAATGGGTCAGGCTACCCACGCTGAACACAGAGCTTTGGGCACTCTCCTGCAAAAATCCTACAACAGGGAAGCGTGGTGTTATCATCCCCTGGACCACAGCTCGTGGGTTCTGCTTGTCCCTCTGCACTGTGTAGAACACAGGCAGGTGATGTGTTTCATCGAGGATGGATGAAGGTTTGGGCACCGATGCGCTCTTTAGAAGCTGAAATATTAGGTCTGCTCTATGGCAGAGGAACGGAGATGGGAAAGAAGAAAAGGAAAAGAAGTATAACTGAGAAGAGGGAGGCAGAAACTGGGGCTGGTAAAGGAAGACAGAGGAAATCCATCCCACCAGGACGAAAGCTTCTCCTCGTTGGCAGCCGGGGAGTCCCACGCAGGGAAGCCCACTCAGGCACCAAGGAGCGACAGGGAGACATCAGCCATCCAGTCTCCGCCAGGAAAACGTAACAGAGAAAGGGGCAGCAAATAATCCAAAGAAGAAAGCAACAGTAAACAGATGGGTAAGGAGTAAGAAATCCTGACTCCCCCAGAAGTATGTTATTTATAAAACACTGAAAGTATAAGAATTACCACAATATTCTAAAATAAGGGGGCAAAGCC